TACCCATTATTCTAACTTATATCACAAAATAAAACAAAAGGCAGCAGAACGAAGAAAAAAATCTTATAACATCTGCCCCTTTTTACAAAGAAAAAAAGAAGAAAAGATATTAATAATCTTCTGGTCACAAAAATACAACAAAACAGAAACAACAACAAATAAAACTTACATAAATACCCCTTATTCTAATTTATATTTGTTCAATAAACCAAGTTTAATMATTCTTTTAAACACAAACAATGATCCAGTGTTTCTAACATCACTCTCCACAGTTTCACTCCCTGTATCGACGCACACCGTTCACTCAAAAACTTGTTCGAAATCTGTGCTTCACAAATATTTCATTTCCCTTTAAATTATAAGAGCTTTCTCTTTTAACAATATTTAACTGTAGATTCAAAAGTAGCATGTTTTTATGAGCCTTAAACATGAGCTGTAGAAGACTGTAATCAACCAACTCATGAAGTTTTAATAATTCCAATTGAAAAAACGATATATTTCAAGGTTGACTGTAGTGTTTTCTAATAATAACTCTTATTGCTCTTTTCTGCTAAATAAAAATGGGGTTTATTATCGTTTTACATGTTTTCCCCCATATTTTAATACAATATATGAGGTGTGGAACTATTATTGCATTTTACAACATATATAGAGATTTGTCGTTAAATAACTCTCGAGCTTTATACAATACTACAATTGATGTAGCTATTTTTACTTTTACATTATTTATGTGTGATCTCCAAGTCAGCTTCTCATCGATAACGACACCCAGAAACTTTTTACTGACTCTGCCAATTGTAACACCATCAATTTTAAATTGAACATCAACTGCTATTTTTTTATTAGTAAATATCTTATAGTTAGTTTTATCCGAATTTAACGATAGTTTATTAATTTGAAATCAACTTTGTATTTTAACAAATTCTATCTGTATCTTCTTCATCATCCATTCTGTCAGTCCCCAAACAAAAACAAAAAAAAGTTGTGTCGTCGGCAAAAAGAACACATTTGAAAAGTCTCGATACATCCACCAAATCGTTCACGTACAAAATAAACAATTTTGGACCAAGTACTGAACCTTGAGGAACTCCACATGTGACATCACAGAGTTCTCTAACCTCATTCATTTGTACAAAGTGTTTTCTATCTTTTAAATCCCATGATCAATGGTGTCGAACGCTTTCTTTAAGTCCACATAAATACTACCACAGTACTGTTTTTGGTCTTAAATATTTTTCTCTTAATATTATATTTATTGGTGTTAAATATTATCTCTTAATATTATATTTATTGGTATTAAATATTACCTCTGAAATTAGTTTTGTGTGTGTTTTGTTTTGTTTCTTTATGCGTTAAAAGTGCTAACGGGACTGGTGGTGAAGGAAGGGGGGGGGGGTGAACTCTTTGACCTCCGCACGTGCTGTCCGTGACGTCACATTGGTTTCGGTGCAGCAGGGGGGGGCGCGCAGACAGGAGAGGCTTGTGCGCCTTTTTGCGCCGCTTTGCCCGGTGCGTCACTCCGCTCCTGGGCGCCTCGCTCCTGCAGACAGAGACAATAAAAACACTGATCTTTATTTTTATTATATTCTTTTTTTTTTTTTCTGACTTTATTATTGTTGAAGCAGAGCCGTGTCTCTTTAAACTGGTCTGACTAAAAGAGCCCATCTGATCCCGGAGCGCCAATCAGAAGCTGCTCGCGCTGAAGCTGCATTTCTGTCTGTCTGCGCGCAGCTGAAGTGAGGAGGAGGAGGAGGAGGTGGGGGGAGACTGAGGAGAGGGCACAAACTGCAGAAATGTGACAACCAGACCATCCTGTTCATGGCGAGGGCCGAACCGGACAGAGAGGAGTTATTCTGGGACTCCTTCACCGCCGGATCAAAATGGTGAGCTGCGGAGGAACCGCTGCAGGTTTCTGGGTTTATTACTCTCTCTCTCTCTCCCCGCCTCCTCCTTCTCCTCCTCCTTTTTTATTTTTATTTTCTGGATCTCCTGCAGCTTGGAGCGACTCTTCAGGCCGAGCAAACTTCTTCCTCACTTCCTGACTGGTTTCTAAGACAAGTTTGTTTTTTGTGGGGAACTTGTGAAGCAGCTGAAGTTGGGAGGAATGGGAGCTGCTGGTGCGCAGAAGGAGTTAAATTCCTCGGGCTCAGGACACCTCAGGTCGTGACTGGAGCTCATAATGTGGAGCGGGATGGGTGGAAGTGGAGCAGGTGCTGGGTCCAGACCAGGACTGGGGTCACGGTTCTGGTGCTGAAACTTAATTTGGTTGCAGGAATGTGTTAGATTTTTAGATGTCACTTTTCCTGTTTTCAGCTCTAAGGTGTGTGTGGTTCCTGGGTCACGTTGATCCTTCATGTGGACCTGATCCTGGTTTAGGATCAGGACTGGGGTCACAGTTCTGGTCCTGAAACTTAATTTTGTTGCAGAAGMATCTGAAGATTTTTAGATGTCACTTTTACACCTGATTTTATGGTGTTTTCATTTCTAAGGTTTGTGTTCTGGATCCATTTCTCAGGATCCCTAATGTGGACCAGGTCCTGCTTTAGGACCAGGACAGGGGTGACAGTTCTGGTCCTGAAGCAGCATTTGTTCGCAAGAACATCTAAAGATTTTGGCTGCTGATCTGTTGGTGTTTTCAGCTCTAAGCGTGTTCTGGATCCAGGGTTCCTGTTCTCATCTCTCATGTGGACCAGGTCTTGGTCCAGAGCAGGACAGGGGTCACAGTAACTGAAGACTAGTGGAGGTCTTCTCTCCCTGGTGTGCTCTGGCTCCAGGGTCATGTCAGGATGCCTCGTGTGGAGCAGTAATCCAGCGCTGCCTCACATCTGGAGGCTTGGGTTAATATGTGGGTCAGGTCAGCCGGGTCGGTCCTGGTGCTTCACTGGGGGCCTCCTGCTGCGGAGCCGCTCTGCTCTGTGGGGGTTTTGTCCTCGCCTGGTTCCTGTTGGACGTGCGTGAGATCAAGAAGCAGCTTGTGTGGTCAGATCTCGTCTTTTAACCGCAAACATCCAGGAAGTGAAGAGATTTTATCTTCCAACTGGTCCGATGGAGGATTCTGACTGTTCAGCAGTTCTGGGTCTTTGCTGGATTCGTGTTTCACGATGTTCAAGTATTTTCAGCTGGTTGGAGGACTGGACCTCAGGCAGAACCTTGATTACAGCGGGTAAAATAAGTATTGAACACGTCACCATTTGTCTCAGTAAATATATTACTAGAGGTGCTAATGACATGAAATTTTCACCAGATGTCGGTAACAACCCAAG